TTTATCCTATTTTTTAAAATATAATCTAATTTTTAAATGTTTTTTTATCATATTCTATAGGGACTTAAAGTTCAACATATCAATACTTGATGAAAAATACCTGTTCCTTATTATGCCTAAGATGTTTGAAATGCAGTGAGATAGTGAGGTTAAGATTGATAGCCCAAATCGTTTGATAATAACAATAAGCTTTTCTTCTGGATGGTTAACAACCTAAGTTTGCAGACCAAAATTAGAGAAAAAGGAGGGATACAAGGAAAGCCAACATTTTGGCCCTAGCCTTCTAAGGTCAATTAAGACTCAGGACATATGAGAACTTGTACTGTAACATCATGTACCTTGGTAGTGTCCCAAATTTTCTGATCAAGAAGATTATGGGGCCAAAGAGGAAAGTGATCGATGACATAGAGTGGGCCTAAGGAGAGTCACATGGGGAGAAGATACTCTCTCAGGCTTTCACAGAGAGCACATTGGCCAAGCATTGGCCGTGACTCATCCACATGGCTGCACTGATAAAGGTTCTACAATCTGAGGTACAGGATCTCAGGACAAATCCTGAGGGCATTTCACTGACCTTCTCAGACCAAAAAGCTACAACTCTTGTTGCATAGGTCCTGCTTTACCTTGGTCTTAACCATCCAGCAGAAAAGTATGAAGACGAAATTATAAGAAATAAAGCCATGCTGTTAAGTTGAGCTGTGGGGGACTCAGGTCAATAATTTCTGCATTGCCAGTTAAACAGAAGACCCAATGCTAATATGGGCTACTGGACTCTTTTAGAATATTTTGCTGAGTTTACACACCTATAATATTCAATAACGGAACTTAGAAAAAATGGGGTATACAGATGAATGTCCATTTTGTATCTGTGTATTCAAAGTGGTTGGGATAGATAGTTACATTCTGTTAATGAATAGAACGATTTGTTCTAATGGTGTTTGTAAATAGGATCACAAGTCTGCATCTTGTACAGCCATTAACCACTAAGAAGAATATATGCAGTGTATTATTTGTTGAAAAAAAAAAAGAATAGGCAGGCAAATTATGAGTATCAGAAATACAATAGAGGCTGAGGAGAGAACTTGGCAGTCTAAGTGCCTGCCTGGCAAGCTCAAGGACCTGGGTTCGATCCCTGGTACTGAATGTGGTGCTGGCCCTGCACTGTGCTGGCCACTGAACCTGGGCATGGTGACACATGCCTGTAAACCCAGCACTGGGGAGTCTGAGACACGATGATCACTATGAGTCTGAGCTGCATATAGAGACCCTGTAACAAATCAATCAATCAATCTCTAAAAAATGCAATGCAGGCTGTTACTCTAGATGCTGCAGGCATCAAAAGGACAGTACAGGGGCCACAGGGACAAATCAATATGCACAAACATGGATAGCCTGATGACTTGAAGAGCACTTATTATTACAACTTAGCCAATATCAAAGATAGTCTGAATAGCTCTAAAACAATTAAGGAGATAGAATTTGTAAGTTTAAAAATTTTCCAAGCCGGGCTGGGGAGATAGATCAGTGGCATAAGTGCCTGCCTGGTAAAAGAAAGGTCCTGAGTTCAATCCCCAGGACCATACATAAACAAATAAAAGTAACAAAAAAATTTTCCAAGCCTACATGGTTTCATTGGTGAATTCTTCCAAAGATGAACTGATACCAATTTTCACAAAACATTTTCAGGAAAAGACAAGCTGGGGATACCTCCCAATTTATCTCATGAGGCTAGCACTACCATGATGTCAAAACTAGACCCAGACAGTGCAAAACAGAAAACTTAAGAACCATACATCTTGTAAAATCCAAAAGACCACTGGCTGGTAAGGAGGGGGAATAAAGGGAATTCTCTTCCACTGCTGGTGGGAATGTCCGTCAGTACAAGACTTTAAACTGTGGTTTGGGATGTTGTTTAGCAGTTATACATTTGGGTACAGACTCAACAGACGTGTTTCCATATGCCAATAAAAGAGCCACACAAAGATGCTGAAAACAGTACTGTTCTAATAGCCCCCCAAGCCCCCCCAGCCATCTGCAATGGAATAGGTAAATTATGGTACTGTGCAGTGGAATACAGTAATGAACAACTTCAACTACATGAATGTGCATGACTTGAACAAATCATGTTTGTGTAAAAGGAACCAGATACAGAGTACATGCTTTATGATCCCACTGATACAAAGCTTAACAGTAGGCAAAACTACTCGTGGCTTTGCAACATGGGAGGGCGATTATTCTGGAAGGTGGTGACGGGGATGGAGGTGGGAGTGGTGGTGGTAGCTGCTCATTTCTCAATTTGAGTGCTGGTTCAGGATTGTTTTATGAATATTTAACAAATTGCATACTTATGGTACATATACTTTTCTCTATGTATATTTTATTGCCCACAAATTAATTAATTGATTTTGGGATGAGATCTTGCTATGTTGCTGAGGCTAGACTGGAAATCCTGTTCTCATGTGAACCTCCCCACTCAGCCTCATGGCTCTGGGCACGTACCACCATGAGCAACTGATCTATCATTTTTATAAACCATAAAAAGCAAGCAAATCTTGCCTACTGGATCTGGTGACCTGAAGATGCCAGGGGACCTTAGATTCCGAGGAAAAGGAAGGCCTAGGGTTATAACACTGATTTTAGTTTCCAAATGGAGCCCTGAGGCACAGAGTAGTTGCAGGTTAGACCAAGTTGCAGAGCTACTAAGTAGAGCCAGGTTCTGAGCCCTGGAATAAGGTTCCAGTGGTCTTCATCCCTGAACTCGACTGCTGTCTTTATGGCTCAGAGCACAGGGAGGAGGAGAAGCATGTTTCACAGGAGCAAACGCTCAGGAGTTCAGGGCTGCCAGCTGGAGGGCAAACAGGTACAGAAACCTGAAGTGATTGAGGACATCTCTTTATTAATGGGGCCACAGCACCCAGTGAAGCAATATTCACAAAGGCAACCAGCTGTAATATAAGGAAAGGTGCTGTGCTTACTGAAGCAGGGAAGTACGTGTTAAGTTTTTGCAATATTTTGGGTAAGGGATAAATTCTGATTATGCCAGGGGAAATCACTTATGATGAATGTTCACTCATCTCACAATGTCAGAAAAAGAAAAATGAAATGTGTGCACGTGTGTTGCATGCATGTACACGCTACATTCTTTCAGGGGAAGATCTTACATTGGTCTTGGAGAAAAAAATACTGTATAATTAGGCTTTTTTTAAAGTAAGGAAATTATGATTTTGTGATTAGAATAGGGTGTGATTATAGGCCAAAGCAGAACAACTTCATATAATTAGTTCTGAGGCAGTAACTTAATCTATGATATACAAAACACCGCCTGGAGTCTTAATCATGCACAGAGATTACTGTATACAAATCACTCATTCTGTCAGTTTCTTTTATATTGCACAGGGATTAAATGCAAGAGTAAAGGATCGGGCCTAGATAGTCGCAATACAGTTATCATCAATAGGTACAGATTGGATAGGAGCAGTTAATAAAGCCAGTGAGTCAATTGAAAGGGTTTACTGTTTTAGAGGGAGTTTGTAGTACATTATTCATAATGAGTTTGTTTAAGTTGAGTTTTCATTGGAAATATTTCTTGGAACTAGCTCAAGAAGTATTTCCAAATTAAGAAATGTTTCCTAAATAAAAGAGCTTGTGACTCCTTTTTAAATATAAAGTATGTGCACTTCACACATTTGGCATGACTACATCCATTCTGTACCCACCTGAACCTCTCAAACAGATAAAATACAAAAGGATGGAATCTTTTGCTTTTAATCTCTTAGACAAGGACCCACAACCAGGAGTGAAGCCCCTCTGCCTCTCTGCTATGGCTGCTGAGTTGTGGGTATCCGAATGCCTGGTGTGACCACGCAAGAGCAAGTGAATCAATCCCTAAAAAACTCAGGATGGCCCTTCTTGACCCTACTCTGCCTCTGTGGGGTATTCTCTGCTTGCCAACCTGGTTTGCAGATTCTTTGAGTCTCCACACACCCTCACTGCATCGGCCTCTCTCTCAAGGTGAGGAATCTCTGCTTCTATGACCCCACTGCCACACTCTATGTGGCCATGCTCCCTGCAAACGCTCCTTTGACTTTCATCTCACCTCTGCTTGCTCTCGCCATGCATTATTTGTATTTACTTGTCTAGACAGTAGCATTTCACAATACCTTTGCATTAGGTTTAATATTCCAAGCTAGGCAGAGGGGCACATGTGCAGCCTTTTGTACTGCAAATAAAAATGACTCATAATAAACCTCTGAATCATCTTTCCACCCATGTAGTTTATCCGTACTTGACGAAGTACAGAGCAGATGATGAGAAAAAGGAAACTGAAGTGTAGGAAAGTCTGTCTTCAGTGTTTTCAAACTTGCTTTAAAACACAAACATTTCTTGAAATGCAGAAGTTAAAGTGATGAATGTTAAGTGGATATTTTTTCACCTTAACTGACTGATCAGAAGAGTAGTTATAACCCCCCACTGACTGATGTCTCGAGCTGATAAATCAACAGCAAGAGAGAATATTTCATGCACATCTATCATTTAAGACAAACAGCCTAGGCTGCGTGTGATTATTTTTTATTCATCATTGTAGCTCACCTCTGCGTCTGTGCTTTCTCTGTGTTAATAATATCTGTATAAGACTTCTCAATATTTAATGTTATAGCCTGCCTGCTGCATACCAATGAGGTGAAGGTCACATGTTTGAGTTCTAGAAGCCCAGAGAGCTTTGCCAGAAAAAAAAGGGAGGGGAATCTGCTTCTCAGAAGCCTGATCCTAGCCAGTTTCCCTGTCATAATCATAGAATTAAAGTTTTAAAGGCAACGAAGTCCAAGATACTTTAACAGGCCGGCCCAACTATACAAAAGCTTGTAATTAGTGAAGCAATGCCCAGGAACACAAAGCAGCACAATTCAGTTTCCATGACTCGGTCACACCCAGTCCAGTCCATAGGGCCAGTGGTATCCTCATCACACCCAAAGGATGGAAGTATGTAAGAGAAAGCTTACCTGCTCACTCTCGTCTTCATCGCTACTTAGCTTAAGGTCATCTTCTAGCATTCTGAAAGAGGGAACAAAAAGGTACAGATACTTTAGCAGACTCAAAATAATTCAATGCCAAAATATCACCTTGATAAGAGCAACATTTCAGTCATAAGTCTATTTGATTTCCTAATGTTGTTTTCTCCCCCCTCTCCCTTTTAAGTGCTTTTCCTCGGATGCACTTAGGAAATAGCAGGCAGTTGCATGATGAAAATTAACTCTCACAACAGTCACGGGGTAAAATGGGGGAGGCTTAAGGACCTGCTGTTTTCGACATCAGGGCCAAAGAGGGGCACTTCCTGGGGCAGTGGTCATTCCACGGTGACTGGCTCAGTGCTCTCCTCATCAAGGTTTGAGCTTCGGCTCTAAGCCTGCCCAGGGACATTCACGGTGAAGAACATGACAGAATGAGTGGCCTCTGCAGAGAGCCAAAGCAATGAACTTGAGCACGAGTGGCAGCTGCGCTGGCTGTCCACCAGCCTGTGCACTGCAGGAGATGCCTGAAGACACTGCTGGGCAGAGACCATCACCCGAGAGGGAGCCCTTTGCACCTGGGAAAGCCACCTTGTACCCCCAGGGACCTCATGTTCATCCTGACAGAGGCTTTGAATTTGGAAGAGGCCAGAGTGAGGATACAAGACACAACTTTAGACTACCATTGTGGATGATAAGAAACCCATCCTCTCACCAGTAATTACCGAGTGATTTCTTTATGGAATAATAGTTTGCAGATTTATTCATTTCAAAAGACCTCTTTCTCAGAAGTGCACCCTAGAAAAGCACTCGCTAGCAGCACAGTGGTTCTGCCCGGGTGTTGGGGTAAGTCTACTCTGCACAGAGCCTGGGACTTCAGGGAACCTGTCTGGGGATTGCCCCACCCTGTACTTAAACACCCCACTCTTTTTATCTTTTCTTTCTTTTTTTGTAGTTTAGGGTAAGAGTCTACAGGGTGATCAGGGTCTCACTACTAGATCAGACTCGTAGTGATTCTCCTGTTTACAACCTCCCAAGTGCTGGGATTACAGATGTGCACCACCATACCCAGCCTTAATTGCCCTCTCGGCGTGCCCCTGGGGTTGGGCCGGCACAGCAGGTCCGGGGATTGAACCTCCTCTGCTGAGCTCTTTGGCCGGCCCTCTCACTCTTTTTTTTCAAGTCAGCTTTAGAAGACTGTCCCTAAAATGTGCTTAGGATCTTTTAATGGCCAATTAGAGACCTATGGTTAGTAGATGACTGAAGATTTGTAAGTCATTTAGGTAAGCTTTGGGGTGCACTGAAGATAAGAGGTACTGGGGCAGGATGCCCCCTGCATCTGTCCAACTGTCTGTGCATGTCCAGCCGGTCACTTAGTGCACCTTCTGCCGCTATTCCCTGCTCATGCAATGAGATTTATGCTTGGCAATCTTTTTTTTTTAATAATAAAAAAATTGTATTAACTTAGAAGCATTCAGAATGTCAACAAAACAGTTGCAACTTTTTTTTTTTTTCAATTACAGAGCAGTATTCAGTTGACGGAACAATTATTTCATATAAGCTGCATCAGAGACAACTGAAGATGAAAAACTACTGTCTCCATATATGACTAATTTGTGCTGTGCACCAACAAGAACCTGCTTTAAATTTACATGCCAATTTACAACCCCCATACCATACCAGGCAAGGTTAGTGGTTATTGAAAATACCACCAGGACAAGGCTATCTAAAGACACATTCGAAAAAAAAAAAATAAAGACACATTCGACAGTGTGTTAACTATACAAAAAAAAGACACTGCACAGTTTAAAAACAAATCCTACACAGCCCTATGTTTCAATTTTTTTGTTCAAAAGGAGTGAATTGTGTACAGGGGGGTTAAATGCTTTATAGACAAGAAAAAAAAAACTTGTGCTGGAACCAACTTATTCATCATCATCCTCTTCTTCATCCTCATCCTCTTCATCTTTTTCTCTTCCTCATCTTCCTCATCTTCTTCCTCTTTCTTCTTTTTCTTGCTTTTTTCAGCCTTGACAACTCCCTTTCTTGCTGCATCAGCTTTTCCTTTAGCCCAGTAAGCAGTGATGTCCTTTTCATACTTTTCCTTCAGCTTAGCAGCCTTCTTCTCATATGGCTGCTTGTCATATGCTGCAGTATTATTCCACATTTCTCCAAGTTTCTTTGCAACATCACCAATGGAGAGGCCAGGATGCTCTCCTTTGATTTCTTGGTGATACTCAGAACAGAACAAGAAGAAGACCTAAGGAGTTCCCTTGGGCGCATTGGGATCCTTGAACTTCCTTTTTGTTTCTCCTTTAGGAGGATTATAAGTTTTCATTTCTCTTACATAATGAGCCTTGTCCCCTTTTGCCATGTCTTCCAAATTTCCTTTCTCTTTAGAAGACATGGTCTTCCACCTCTCTGAGCACTTCTTAGAAAACTCTGAGACGTTAACGGAAGCATCTGGGTGCTTCTTGTGCTCTTCTCGGCAAGTTTGCACAAAGAATGCATAGGATGACATCTGGCCTCTTGGCTTCTTAAGATCTCCTTTGCCCATGTTTACTTGTTTTCCTCAGCGAGGTACAGAGTCGCCCAGTACCCGCCTGGCTCTCACTTGCCCTGGTGCTGTCTCTATGGAGCTCAATGTACTGTAATCACGTTCAGCAATCTTGGCAGTTTAGTCCTGCTTTATATTCCATGAGTCTGTGAAATATATTTGTTCCTCTCACTTCACAATGTAGAAAAATGTTTCTTCTTGTTCCAGGGAGCACAACTGAGACAAATCCAAGTCATTTCTGGGAGGCCACTGAAGCCACTACCACAGGACACCAGTCCTGTCTCCTCACAGGGCGGCAAGAAGCATTTCTTTATTCAACAATGCAGGAAATACCAGCAGAGACTGCAAGGACTCACTCATTTCATTTATTTGTTGGGCAGCTCCTTCATTTCCTCAGCCTCACATGCTCATCCACTGGCCCGCAAGAGAAGGGACATCTTGGTGATTTACTGGAGGACTCTTTGCAAGTAACGTGGGGAAGTGGACTGTGCTTTACACTGAATCCCCCAGGGAGGAGCAGTGACAGCATAGAGAATAATATGTGCTCAATGTGTTGCTATGATTGGAATGCCGCCCTCCAAGGTTTGTGTTTTAGAAATTAATTCCCAGAGTCATATGTTGGTTATATATTTGATGAAATGATTGTTACTAGATGAACCTACGTAGGTGGGACCCTAGGATGGCATCAGCCATGTTATGGTGCAGCATGAGGGCCCTCACCTGGCTCTTAAACTCCTAGAGCCTGGTTCTTGGACTTCTGTGCTCCAGCACTGTGAGCCGCATGTGTTCCTATTTACAGATCTCCTGATCTCAGGTATTTTATTATAGAAACAGAGCACAGAATAAGACATGTCAGTGCATAAAGACACACCTTTTAGAATTTTCCACTACCCCTCATACCTCCACGTCTTGGTCAAGTCATCTTATGGGTCTTGACTCTTATTGTGTCTATGATGGAACTTATCTACCTTTATCACTCTTTCCAGAAGATAAGTCGCTAGGAGTGCACTTTGTTTTGTGAATAACAACCAATCACTGAATGCATCTATCATATTAAAAGAGAATTTTGTTTTTGGGTGATGTATAAACAGAGAATCACACATACATTCATCTGTTTCCTATTGCTGTAATAAAATACTAGAGGCTGGATACTTTATAAGATAAATAGCCTAATCTAGTTCACAGTTTTACAGGCTGGAAGTCCAAGATTAGCCAGTCCTGTCGCCCTGGGCTCTGGTGAAGAACGCTTTGGTTACATCACAGCACAGCAGATGGTATCAAGGTGGAAATGACTAGAAGCTAGAAAGGGATTCAGATTCACTCTACATTAACAATTTGCCCTTGTGACAATGAACACGCTTCATGAGACCAGAAGCCTTTCTGAAGCCCATGTTTCCAGTGACCAAGTCTCCTCACATGAGCACTCTTCACCCCTTGCCATGGCTAGAGTAGGCACCAAGCTTCCAGGACATGAACTTTTTGGTGACACACTCAAACCATCTCTAAGTCATAGACACATGTACAAGTACTTTGCATTCAGGAGAGACTTGCAGAGAAATTCATGTGAAACCTCAGCCTATTTCAGACTATGAGAAAACAGCAACAGAAACACTTCATGAAAGAGCTTAAACAAGAGCTGACCAAATGATACGGTGTGTATTTCAATAAAAAAAATTACAGTGCAAGATACACTGTCATTAATTCCCCTCAAAATATTCTTCCTCACTTTCAATATCTTATCCTATCAGGTTTGGCACATTCTAAAGCAGCTCGGAAAGTTTTCTTTTGTGAGTGTCTGTAGGAGGTGTGATAAAAATACAGTGAATGCTGCTGCTCAGTGTGGTACAGTGGAAAGGCAGGCTCAGAAAAACAGGGCACTGTGTCCTCATCACCTTATTCACCAGATCTGGAACCAGGTGACTTAAAGCTCCTCCCCAAAGTCAAAATGACCATGCAATGGAAATCCTTTGAATGAATTCAGAACTTCCAGGAAGCCATGACACCACAACTAAAGACATTCCTGAGAGAGGTCTTCCACGACTTCTCAGAAAGTGTCAAGAATTGAGATAAGCGTGTTCATAGTGAGTGGGAAGATGCTGAGGAGGATTCATGGCAATATGTCCATTACTGGAATGAATTTTTAAAGATGTAAATGTTTAGTGTATTTTGTGACCATGTTTCTCATACAGTCCCACAGCCACTCTGGCTGGTGCTACTGTCAAAGTAGGAGACCACGGGCTCTGAAAGACTGATCTTGTCCACACTGCTCCCTCCCTTCCCCATGCTCAGACCCTTGCTGTGGTAAGCAAGGTTCAATTCCCAGCACCACCTGAGCACAGAATCTCTTCTGCCATGTTCCGGTGGTTGCCAGCAGAGCCCCTGATTCCTTTGCAAAGGACAGTGTTTCCCTTTTGCCTGGAAGTCCAGGTCAATACCCACAAAACCCTCACTTTTAATGCTGATCATCTCAGAATGGCCTCTGAGGAAGA